CATATTTCTTTAACCATATATATATGGCAGATGTATCAAAATAAACTTAGTCACATTCGCTGATATCTTACTAAATGATTTTCGTAGCTGAACCAAACACTAAAACACTGATTCAATAAACAAAAAGCATGCTATATCATATTTTCTATGTAGAACATTAGCTGAATGCAATACCGCAGTAGGGTTACAATTAACATATAGATATTTTCATTGTGTGCGTGTGTGTGTGTGGTGTGCTTGTGTGTGTGTGGTGTGCTTGTGTGTGTGTTGTGTGCGTGTGTGTGTGTGGTGTGCTTGTGTGTGTGTGGTGTGCTTGTGTGTGTCTTGTGTGCGTGTGTGTATGTGTGTGTGGTGTGCGTGTGCATGTGTGGTGTGTGTGTGGTGTGCGTGTGTGTGTGTGGGTGTGTGGTGTGCATGTGTGTGTGTGGTGTGCATGTGTGTGTGTGGTGTGCATGTGTGTGTGTGGTGTGCATGTGTGTGTGTGGTGTGCATGTGTGTGTGTGGTGTGCATGTGTGTGTGTGTATGGTGTACATGTGTATGTGTATGTGGTGTGCATGTGTGTGTGTGTGTGTGTGGTGTGCATGTGTGTGTGTGTGGTGTGCATGTGTGTGTGTGTGTGGTGTGCATGTGTGTGTGTGTGTGTGGTGTGCATGTGTGTGTGTGTGGTGTGCATGTGTGTGTGTGGTGTGCATGTGTGTGTGGTGTGCATGTGTGTGTGGTGTGCATGTGTGTGTGTGGTGTGCATGTGTGTGTGTGGTGTGCATGTGTGTGTGTAGTGTGCATGTGTGTGTGTGGTGTACAAGTACAAAGTCAATATTTGGTGATGAGTAGCTAAACAGTATTTATAAATCTTTTCAATCATTCTTAATCTTGTGCTAATATCTGACCATAATTTTCACTATCATTATTCTGTAAGTCATGGCTTTTCTCTGAGGAGTTGCATTTGATCAGCTGAGTGAGAAAATACAAGTTTGCTTGTTTCAACTTGAGCAACTACTAGCTGAGTGGTTCCAAAGAGGGTGAAAAACAAGTCTAAAAATTTACTCCCAATACATGT